GTTAAATTATATGGCCACATACCTCTCCTAGAACCTGGCAAGTCGCATTCACACCGAGCACCACCACAAACACTTTAAAGTACTCATATCGATCTCAACTATTTCATTAAATATTTAAATTCTTAGCTTGTGGGAAATAAACCAAGAAAGAAATATCACGTCCAAATAAGATAGAGTTGAAATTATTATTTTCGGTTTTACAGAAATGGAACTATATCTATATATGATCTCATAATTTTCCCAATCTGATTCTTATTCAAACCTTCTAACTCTAACAATTTTTAGAAATCAATCTAAAATATTGTAGCCACTTATATGGCCGGTCGTTGATAGAAAGAGGTAGAACAACCATGGAATGGACACATTGGCTAATCATAACCACATCTATATTTCATCCACTCACGTCACTCGTCAAACCAAAATCTATAAACCTCCAAAAAAATAAAGAAAATAAAAAGAGATCACATAAAGTCTATGAAACTAAAAGAAGAACATACAAAAATAAGGTCAGAGGAAGAAAATTATAAAACGTCCGCCATTTCTACTCTCGCTAATAGCTCACCATCAAACACCAATTTCTTTTTCACGTAAGAAAAAAAAAACTATATATTATATACATCATATCAAACTCTTCGAGGGGAGAAATATTATATTTATTTATTTTAGTGGTTTATGATTTTTATATAAGAAAATGAAAAGTATGATCCTGAAGACAACGCCGGAGCTCTTCCAAGGAGATGGAGTGTACCGTACGGAACATCTCGACAAAAGCCGATTGGTTAGTCGATCATACCGGCTAGGTAATGGATCAAACCGGTTTTCTAAAATCGGTTCAATCCATTGTCATCGGTTAAGCATAACAAAGTCCGGTTTGCATCGTGGGACTACAAAGGCTCAAGCCATCCTTAGCCCTGTGTCCGATCCGGCCGCTTCCATAGCCAAAAAGGTTAGTCTTCCACAATTTTTTTTATCTTTCTTGTGGTTCCCATTGTTGTGCACCTTTCACTTGTTATTAATTTTGTTCACTCGTTTGGTCATAGGGTCGTCGAACCATCTAGTAGCTCAATTATTATTTCTTAATTATTGGCGAGTGAAAACCGGAGATGATTACTTGGTTTATTCTCCCGGTTAGGATACAAAATCGGTTACACCATCGTGACATTGG